TGTTTGCAATTGCAAACAACAACATTTTATGTAAATAATCATCTTGTGTCAAATGAACTGAACTGAAAAGATAGAACTATTTGCATAATTTGTTTGAAGCAATCCTCTTTGGGTTTGGCTTCAATCGGACTAGCTTTTAACTCATCAACCCAGTCAGATTTCAGATCTGTTTCTCTAAAATGAAGTTGTTTAAAGAGCTATCTACAGCAGGTAGCATTAATTGTTCATGCCTTTTCCACACAGCCCATTTTCAAAAGATCTGAAATTTCAGTCTAACCTTTAGGCACAGCATTTTATCAAAGTAAAGAAAAGACACGTCTTGTCTCTAAATAAACTGTCTTCAGGACCTAATTATGAGTTTTTAATCTGGAGTAATCTACAGCTGGATTGTCACACGGGAGAAACTACAGAGTGAAGTTCTCAGAGATGCTCTGGCCAAGACTGCCTGAGATAACATCTGTAAGTGATGGTGACACAAGCTGCTTTCCTGGTTCCAGTCAATGAGGGGACTGTGTAAAGAGGAAGACTATGCATTCCTGGGAATACCAAAGAGTCTGAGCAAAGAAGGATGGGCCGCTCTGGAGGAGGACTGGCAAGCCAAAAAGCAGGAAAGGGTATAGGAGACAAATGGGTTCATACGCATGACGAGATCCAATACCGCAACTTCAGGGTGTGTGTTTGTGTGTGCATCAGGTCCGCCGAAGACTGGAGCGGGAGAAGCGGGAACAAGAAAGACTCAAAGCGATAGAAGAGAATAAACAGGTGAAGCAAACACACGAATCATATGCACTCTGCAAGTCTGAAATTCTGTGAAACCAAACAGCCACTTCACTTTCAACCTGCTGGCACAGCATGAAGGTTAAACACCAAGTGACACCAGCTCCATCTCAACAACTTGCTTTTTTTTAGACCACACAGTTGCCAACACACACACAGATTTAACAAGGCAGCCAAGCAGTAGTAAGAAGCTGATGAGTGTAATGACAGATCATCCAGCCTGACAGCACTATTAATCATACTCTGAAGGCAAGGAGAGTTTATGATTTTATTAAGGGTGTTTTCTGCATGACTTTTTGTTCGGTGTTTTCA